GGCGCGAGGGCATTCTCGGGGATGGATAATGAGGGGGCGTGAAGTGCACGCACACTTTTCATGTGAGCGTGAGGCTGGCTCCCTTGTGTCACTGGGGAGGGTCCTCGCAGGGAAGGATGCAGCAAACACTGGCCTTGATTCCCCCCTCCTGCAGAACCCCGAGGACGCTGATGCCGACGTGGTTGGCACATACGCATTTGCTCATTCCCAGGCCGCTGTGGCACGGGCACCTCTTGGAGCCCGATTCCCCGCAGGGCAGCCTCACGGCTCCATCCTTCCTGCCGCAGGTTCAGCCCCTACGAGTGGTATGACGCCCACCCCTGCAACCCGGGCTCCGAGGTGGTGGAGAACAACTTCACTCTGCTCAACAGCTTCTGGTTCGGGATGGGCTCCCTCATGCAGCAAGGTATGTGCCCTCGGCCCATGCAACAGGGCCAGCAGCCTGGCGGGCCAGCAGGGATGGATTGTGCAGGCCCCGCACTCACCGCTGCCCAGGCGGAGCCAGGCTCAGAGTCAGAGGCTAAAGCAGACAAGCTGCTCCCCGGCCACCACCGGTGGCTTGGTGGCTCCCAGGCGACTCCCAGGGCCTGCTGCTCTGCTGTGCATGGACAGAGCACCCTGAGTGTTGGGGCTGACCCTGCCTTGGCCTTGCCTCCTGAACTCCAGCTGAATGGCCCTGGGCTGTGAGTGGGGGAGATGCAAGGCTGGGGAGTGAGGGTGGGCGTTGCAGGAACAAGAGAGTGTGGCCTGCCCTGGGACCATGCCCATGGGGATGGAGGGACAGAGAGGTTCAAAGAGAACTTCAGGCTGCAGCATGGCTGCCTGGCCCTGGGGAGTCTGGGGTGGGTGGGAGGTGGGGTCTTCAGCCTGCATGCATCAGAGATGGGATGGCATAAGATGCCACCCTCGATAGTTCCAGAGTGCTGCAGGCTTGCCTAGGCCTGGCCCTTTGGAAATATCTACAGTTGCTGAAGGATCTCAGCAGGCAGAGGGCCTGCTCGACCTGCAAGGTGCTGGCGCAGAGATGAACGGGGTTGGGGACTGTGGCCAGGGTGACGCCCTCCAGCCCTGCTGACCATAAGCTCGCTGCCTCTGCCTGTGGAATCAATCCTCTGAGCCTCTGACCAAGGTCTCTGCCCATGTCCGGGTCCCCCTGAGGGGCAATGGGTGACCTGGGGGAGGGCAAGGGCTCTAAGGGGCAGAGGAGACTCCCCATCCCACACTCATCTTTGTGCCCCCTTAGGGCCTGGTAGACCTCCATCAGCACACACCGGATATGTCCCACCCAGCGTGTCCTGAGGGCCTGCTCTACGCCAATCCTGGATCCCTCACCACCACAGTCTATCTAGCTCAGCCAAGGGCTTGGGGAGCCACCCCGGATCACTCAGCCAGGGCAGAGCAGGAGCAGGGCCCTGGACCCAAGTACAGCAGAGCCCAGCAGAACTCACCAAGCCAACAACCAAACAAGTGACTCTCCCTAGAAACAAAACAAAACAAAATTTAAAAAAACAACTGTCCGATCTGATAGAGACTCCTAGAACCTCCTGGGCTGGACACCCTTCAAGCCTGGGACCGAGCCCACCCAGGGGAATTACCTTGCAGACAAACCCCTAACAGGATCAATGATTCCTCAGGATGCCTTCCTCTGCACGAGCAACCCAACAGGAGAGACCCAAAGGACAGCCTGTGCCCCAAACGAAGCTCAGAGGCAGGACAGATGGACCCAGGGACCCAGGGACCCAGGGACCCAGAGAAGGACGAAGTGGGCAGAGTGCTGTTACATTGAGGGGGTTACAACCAAGGACATGCAGCAAAAGGTGTAGGAGTTGTCGAGTGGAGAACCGATTTGCTCTGTAAACTTTCACCCAGGTTACAATAAAAACATCTAACCCCCCTCTCCCCCCCCCCCATTAAATGGGCTTTCCTTTGGAAGCAGCTCAAATCCTGGCTTGGGGAAGCGGGGAGCAGGGTGTGGGGTGGCTGGTGCAGGGGGAGCAGCGGACCCACTGCTAATGAGCCTCCTGATGCCTCACCTTGCCGCTGCGCCCGTCATCTGTTTCCTGACAGTTGGGAGAGACCCAGAAGGCCTCAATGCACGATCGTGTCTGTCTCCTCTTCCGCCGCCCGCTGCTATTCAAAGCGCTGGCCCCTGATGTGGTATCCCCCACGCGCGCACGAGGTTCTGATTAGGAGGGAGAGAAATAGTTATGTATTTGAAAAACTCTCCCTTGAGTGATTTCTTTGAGTGAAAAAAAAATTGCCCATATCAAAGCAGACTCTTTTCAGACTGCAGGTCCAAATATTCTGGAAAGTTCAGGAGTCACTCGCTATTTAAATCTCTTGAAAGCCGCCCAGTTAATTACTTCACTTAGAAGGTTTCATCTGTAGTGAGCTCCATCGCCAAGGTCAGGGAGGAGGAGTGGGAGATTTGGGAGAAGAACTTCAGAAAATGTTGGTTTTCTCCTCCTGCAAAACACCACATAGCAACCGCGTATTTGTACACCACCTGTATTTCCCACGCGGCTTCTCCTCAAATTGTACCAGTGCAGGGTTATCTGCAAGGCGGGGACAAAGGAAGGGCGAGTGTCCTGGTCTTCGGAGGCCCAGAGAGTATCTGACACAAGGTCACACAGAGAGTTAGGAAGGAGCAAGGGTCCCTCAAGGACCTGGGGCTTCTGACTCCCAGGTATGGTCCGCGTGTACCCCTAACAGAGACCCACAAGCACACGAAGTGTGCACGGAGTGTTCGCCAGCAATCACGCTTCAAAGTCAGCATGCCTTCAAATGCCCTAGGGCGCTTCCTACCACACCAAGCCTCCTGTCCCAGCAGGTCCTGCAGGCCGAATTTCCAACAGGTTCCCAGGTCCTGATGATGGTGGTGGGCTAGAGGCTGCACTTGGAGAACCACACTTGTAGGGAAAGAGGGTCAGTGCCGACGGGCCCAGGAGGCTTCGAAAACCCTGGTCTGGACCTGGCAAATGACCCCGACCTCTTCCCTTCCCAGGCTCGGAACTGATGCCCAAAGCCCTGTCCACCCGCATCATCGGGGGCATCTGGTGGTTCTTCACCCTCATCATCATCTCCTCCTACACGGCCAACCTGGCGGCCTTCCTGACTGTGGAGCGGATGGAGTCGCCCATCGACTCCGCCGACGACCTGGCGAAGCAAACCAAAATCGAGTACGGGGCAGTCAAAGATGGAGCCACCATGACCTTCTTCAAGGTGAGCCCTTCTCCCTCCCATCACGACCGACCGTAAGCCCCCCAGGGCTCAGTCCCTCCCTGTTTGGGACCAGTTGACCTTGGGGAGCTCAACACAGATTCTAGCAAGATCCACAGCAGGGGCAGGCAGTGTGAACATGCTGTGTGTTCTCTAAATCCTCAGAGGAGGGTGGATGGAGAGGCGGGAAGGAGGAACCGCTGGCCAGGCACGGAAAGGGCTCTGGGGCCAGTGGGCTCTCTGCCCGGCTTTAGGTCTCTGCACCACCCACCTTCGTGAGGCGTGGGGAACACTTCACCATGTGGTGAGCTGGGGGCACCTCCTCGAAGACAGAGAGGCAGCTCCCAACTTGACGAGTGAAATTAGCCGATCCACAGAAGGACACCGGTTGTGTGCCACCAGCGTTAGCAGGGAAGACGTCAGTAAAGACAAAGGCTCTCGTACCAAAGGGGACATAGACTCTGGAGATTGCTGGCGGCAGGGGAAGGGGCAAGGGAGAGGAGATCAAGCAGGGCACTAGACGGGTTGTTCATTGGGGGGCTTGAAAGAGAGTGGTCCGCAAGAAGAAGAGCCATCAAGGCGCAGGGGAGGGGAACTACTGCGGGGAGGATGAGTGGGTTAAACGATTGAACCCCGTGGATGGTCTGAAAGGTCAACCCCTGCCTGACTGACAATACAGATTTGTCCTTGATAAAAAGTCATCGAGCAGAAGGACAAAAGAGCATCGCCTGGCCTGTCCCCATCCAGCTAAGCTGGAGGGGTCCCAGTAACCCCCGACATCGGCCCAGCTTACTGCTCCTGAGGGGACCCTGCTTTTGCAAGGTGCGGAGTTCAGTTTCCACAGTCTTCTCCCGTTGTAGCCCACAGAGGCTGAGGGTTTAGGAGACTGAGAACCAGTCGCTATAAACGTTCCTCCCAAAATCAATGAGGATGGTAACAAGCATTATCATTACTGGGCGCGCACAGAGGGCAAGCTGGGGCAGCCCCGTGCTAACTAGTGGACTGCCTTTCATCGGCATGGCACGTCCTGAGAGGCAGGTGCTGTAGTCAGCCAGCGCCATTGCCAGCCTACTCGTGTGGACACCAAGACTGGGAAGGGTTACATAGTTTGACCAAAGACGCACTACTGATAGAGGCAGACGCTGACCCACGTCCGCCTTCCTCCAAGTCCGGCATGTGCTACACTGACCTCCAAAGTGCCTGGAGGACTGGTTAACACACGGATTGCCAGCCCCATCCTCAGAATTTCTGGGTCAGTGGCTCGGAGGTGCAGGCAGGGGTGTGTGTGTGTGTGTGCTGAGAACATGCATTTCTAGGGCCATCCCGAGCAAGGCCAGGCCCTGGACTTCGTGCTCAAACCAAACCAGACACACTGCCATCGAGTGGATGCCCACTCACAGCGTCCCTTTAGGACAGGGTAGAACTGTCCCTGTGGGTTTCTGAGACTGCGACTCTTTACGGGAGTAGAAAGTCCCCCCCTCCTTTCTCCCACCGGATAGCTGGTGGTTTCAAACTGTGGACCTTGCAGTTAGCAGCCCAAAGTGTAACCACTACGCCACCAGGGCACCTCCTCAGGAATCTCCAACCACACCTGGGACACTAAGGGGGGGTCCCTTTCCTTTAGACACAGGCCCCCACCTCCAGCCCAAGCCCGGGCCTCCTCTGCAGCCCCTACAGGATGGGCAGAGCCTCCCGTGGGCCTGCGCAAGGAGGAAAGGAGAAGGTGGGAGGGGCACCCCGTGGTTGGAAGCAGCTACTTTGTGACGAGAACAGAAAGGGACCCTGCCCTTGTTTGCCCTCCTGGGAAGCTGCAACCCCAGCAGCCTTCCTCGGGGGTCCCCATGTGTCTGGAGTACACACACAGCCAGGCCTGTGAAGAGCTGAGGACTCTGGGCATGCGCATGTCTGCGGCTGCAGCGTGTGATCCATGCAAATGCACATCTGAGTACGTCAGGATGTGTACATGCGTGCCCATGGAAAAGAGTGCCTGTGCAGGTGTGTGTGTGTGTGTGTGTGTGTGTGTGAGAGAGAGAGAGAGAGAGAGAGAGAGCGCATCGGTGTACATCCATCTCTGTGACCTGGACATGTGGATAGGTGCCTGTGTCTGCGTACACACAGGGGCCAGAACGTTTGCGTGTGTGTGCATGGAGAGTGTGGGCGAGTGCCTCTCTCCATGTGCCCATGTGGTGTGCCTACATCAGTGTGCCTGGAGGAGGGGCTGGGCTTGTGTTGTGTGAGGGCTGTACAGATGTCTTAGGGCCCGTGTGTGAGCACACATGTGTCCTATGGTAGGTAAGGTCTTGTGTGCGTGCAGGCCTGCTCATGCCGACCCCCAGGCTGCAGCCAGCCCTTTGACTGTGCCAGGGCTTCTCTCATGCATTACGCATGAGCCCGTCTCTAAACAGGGCTCCCGATCAAAGGAGAGCGGCAGGCTCAGTGCCGCTGATTGGATGCCCTGGCCTCCCTCCATGCTCAGATGCTCAGATTGGCTTCCAGGAGCCTAGTCCCAGCTCCCCACTGAGCCATGTCCTCAGCATCCAGCAGCTCCACGCTCACCCACCTGCTCTGCGAACCATCCAGGGAGGAGGCCAGAGGAGGGATACAGCAGCTGCCGGTACCCATATCCGAGGTCCAGCCAGGCCCACAAAGTCCTGCTGGTCAGGAGCAGCCACTGCCCTCTCCTCTACAACAGGAACTCCACTCCCTTGCCCGCCTTAGGGCCAGCTAAAAGCCCCCTTCATGGCTGGCCCCACTGCCTCCTGCTCTCATTCAACTGCAGGGCCTCTCGCTCTCCTTTTGGCAGCAGACGTCTGTAGGCAGAGAGGAGTCTGAACATGGATGCATCCACCCAGCTCACATAGGGAGCTAGAAGCACAAAGCCCCCAGAAGGTTACTGGCCAATCCTTCCCGCCTCCCCTGCCCGCACCGCACCGCTGCCTGCTTCCCTCTGTATCAGGGCCCCTCCCTGGGCCACGTGGAAACCTTAGCAGCACAGAATCATTAAAGCTAGAGTTGGAAGAGACTGAGTTCAGCCTAGAGGAGCAGAGGTCCAGAGGGGCTAGGTAATTTACCCAAGATCTCACAGCCCATCAGTGGTGGAGCCAAGAGGCAAGGGCACCAGTCCTGTCTGCTCTCACAGTGCCTTCCCCTGGGGAGTGATGTCTAGCGCTGGACAAGGCGTCTGCACAGAGGAGGAGCCAGCAAGTGTCTGGGAGACCGTGCCAGGCAGCAACAACGGGGACATTTACTAAGCACTTTCTGTGTACCAAGCCAAGGAGCCCTGGTGGTGTAGGGGTTACACGGATAGCTCTTGACCGCAAGATCAGCAGTTCAAAACCACCAACAACTCCTGAGGGTGAAAATGAGGCTCTCTACTGCCATAAAGAGCTGCAGTCTCGGAAACCCTGGCCTATAGGGCCACCATGAGTCAGAATCAACTCTCTGGCAGTGAGTTTGATTATCCGGTTTGCTCTATGCCAAGCAAAGGAACCTGGTGGTGCCACAGGTCGGTTGTTCTGCACCCCTGGGGAGAAAGGCGAGAGCCAGTCTCAGAAAACAGCAGCCCTACTCTGTCCTGGAGGGTGGCCGGCTGTGAGCTGGAATGGACCGGTGGCAGCGGGCTACGTGCCCTGCAGAGCCCCTGGATGGCACAAACAGTTGAGCGCCCCGCGACTAACCCAAAATCGGTGGCTTGAGCTCAGCCAGAAGCCGGCCCCTTGTAAGAAAGGCCTGATCGGCTAGTTCCGAACG